CAAAGAACGTAAATGTATAAGAAGCGACAACTCGTTAAAGTCGGCGAGTGAGGTCTGAAAGGTTGAGATGAGGAGTTCGCGTCCGTTTTAACATCCATTTTCGTAAATGAATTCGCCGCACATATGGTTTCGCGGCGATAAAGAACGTTAAGAAAAAGTGACCGATGATAGAAATAATAAAATGAAATGAGAAAAAACATGGCCGCAGCCCTTTTTGTTGATTTGCTGACGGCATTTAACAATTTGCATGCGCATGTGCATAGATTTACTTTATTTTATAATTTTAAACAAATATAAGTAAATTAAATACATGCGCTATGCAAGACCTTTATAAACTTCCTCTTTAGTATGGAATTTGTAAAGTTTTAATTTATGGATGAAATTACCCTTTTTATATCAACCAAATGTACATTTATAATCAATAAACTTATTTAATATACTCATGCGATTTCCCTCCAAACATATCACATTCATGCAAATACGCGTACGTACATACATATGTATGTAAAAGCGCATATGCGACTAAAACACAACAATAACAATTTCATTCATAAACGCATGCGCATATTCTTCAAGGTCAAACTCATTCATTCATAAATTCAATTGCCACACATCTCCCCGCAAGCGCATCGCCTACAAGCGCAACTTCTGCGCGAGAGCCACAAAAATTCTAAAATGTAAAATTGAAGAAATCACTGCCAGTCAAATGAAAAGTTGCAACTCCGCTGTAAAATCTGAGGATATTTGCAAAAATAACTTATCTCGAGCTTAGCCATTATTTCTCTAAACTTCTAAATCACAGCACTTTTTCAAACTTGTATATTATAAATTAGTTGCTTAAGATTTTAATTTAACAAAAAACAAAATAAACATAAATCTTTTGCACAAATGACCCATGATATTTTGTTGTAAACTCAAAACTTCTGAAATCACATACATAAGTGGTTTTACAACAAATGTAATTTGGCAACATGGTTGTCTTCACCAGCTTCGGTCATCAATTTTAAAATTTTTGTAAACCGATCGCTTACGATTTGTTTACAGTTGACTCTAGATACTACGAGCATCATGTATACGAATAAAAAAATTTAATTATTTTGCATTATTGATTATTGCGAAGCTATGAAGCATATATAAGTGAGTGTATATATACAGGCCTATTCTGCGTTGGTAACACAAATTTTGTTTACTATCATCAAAAGCGACAAACACAAAAAATCGTACATTAACAAGCCTATTCTGCGTTGGTAATTTTTTTTATCCAAAAATAAAGTTCCTCTCTTTTTTTAAACCCTTTTCGCATTCTGCGAACTCTCGTAACCGGTAAAATTTGTTTGCATCTCATAAGCAGGTAACAAAATATTACCCCAAGAAATAACAACAACAGAATTTCTAAAAAACTTCATAGCTGAAATGCGGAATAAATTAAAATGTGACACAGGTAGTTAGAATTGCGGTAACAAGAAGTGGTAACAATGATTGGTAACAGAATTTGCTGGTTAGAAAATTTTCGGTAACAAGCAAATGGGCTTCAAGATGTTCATGTTAGGAGCAGCCTACTGTAAGCGTACATATGTATGTACATATGTATGTGCGTAAATATGTCAGGACGCGGCATTTTGCAGGAATTTAAGAACTTGTCAAGATAAATATGGCGGAGGACGTGGGAAAGACGGAGACAACTTATGTTTCATATTTATAGGTTTTTTTAGGCGGAGGATGTGAGAAAGACGGAGACAACTGAGGTTTCGCATTTACGCGTTTATTTTTGGCATGCTTATGAACCAAAACTTGAAAACATTTATTCTTGCCCGATAATAACAAAATGTATGCATACTCATGTATAAATGCATAGATTTAAATTAAACTTATGCCATCTGTATATAATAAACATTGGTTTTGTAATAAAGCCGCTGTATACACACTTTATCCATCAAATCTACCAACACATCATTTTTTTGCATACTTTAAATATGTAAATTTCCAGATGAAAACAAAACATAAGTACACTCATATATAAATGCATAGATTTCTTATTAAACTAATGCATTTTTATATAAAAGTACACTGATTTTGTTTAATATACTGATCACTTTTATGCACAGACACCAACAATCGACACTTGTTGACAAACACTTCGCACTTACAAACACTTTATTATGAATATGGACACTTTCACATACATGCACTTCAGTATTTTACACATTCACTGAATACTATATATTTTACACCTTCTTTTATTTATTTCCTATATTAAAATACACTTTTCAACAACTTGCGCAAAACAATCACCGAAATTCACATTTGCCGCTTTTCTTCTGTTTTGCTGTCATTTTCCGCATTCCAGGCGAAAATCAAAAATCTGCCGCGGACAGAGTCAAAAGGGAGACGAACTCCTCATCTCAACCTTTCAGATACGGTCAAAACCGTCGCGGCACATTTTCAAAGTAACGAGTTGTCGCTTCTTATACATTTACGTTCTTTGGCAGAAGGTAAACAAAAACAATTACAAGCACAGTGGCAATGTCAAAGCACGTTGAAATCAGCTGTTCGGTAAACTGACTGATTCAAGGTGTATTAAACACGCCTTGTACTGATTTGATAACACTTCTGTTGCCGCCTGTGGAAATTCTGTAGGAAATAAATTTTAAAAGTTAAAAGAAAATTCTATAAAATACAAAGGAAATGGTGGTCACTAAACAGTTTTTCCAAACAGTATTAAATACATCGAATCGCGTTCATGGATTGACAAGCCTGCGTGAGTTTTTAATACAAGAAT